CTGCTGCGATTTGCGCTGTGATCTCCGCGGAACGGGGCCAGAGAATACGTAAAACTTTTGGGGCCTGCAGCGCATTTGCCTCTCAGGAGTCCAGCTCCAACAGTGGAGTTCATTGATCGTGCCCATTCCCCCGCGGTGGCTTTTATCAACTTATATTCTGCCTTGTTCTGGCTGCTCTGCTGCCCGCTAGTCGCTATGTGGTGAGTCCACGCGTCAAGATACTAGATTGCCAAAGCAAGTCGTTTACTCTGAACTCCACCATGGTAAAAGGGTCCTCAGGAGGACAGAAGAATAGGTTCAAGGACGTCCTTAAAGCCTCATTTGACACAGACATCAATTCGTGAGAGTCGCGAGCTCAAGATCGCACTAGCTGCAGGAGAAGCATTCGGGTTGGCATTGTGCATTTTGAGTCACACTGGCAAGCATATCAGGAAGCCAAACAGTTAATGCTACCCCCATCCCCTCCCTTTGATGCTGCTAATCCTGCATAATGCACGGGCATAATATGACTTTGAAACCCCCCGCCCACCTCCTACGCATTTCCCATAAATATGCTAAATTCCTCTTGATATGCAAATTCTTTTGTCAAGGACGCTCTTCTTCCCCCCTCCAACCCAGCTTAAATATACGCTCCAAGCTTGGTGGTGTTTCATTCTTCACCTGAGGACGGCTGCTTGCGTTGTGGCCGAAACGTCGTGAGAATTATTTTATTATGTTTTTTTATTATTATTTTATTACTTCCCTTCTACGTGACTTTACTGAAAGAACCAAGAAGATGAATCCCTGCAGTCACGAAAGCTTTAAATCGAAATTTAGTTCAGGAAAACTCTGCATGACTCATTTTTCCCTTTTCCTTGAGCATGTCCTCCCATTTTTTTTATATTTGTATGCGTCTTGATTTTATGGGTAGGACTACCTTTGTTAAATGTATACTGTAAAGTGTTGCGATGCCCTCTTCAGTGGGGGCGAGTTTTTACTCAGTAGCAAATAAGACGCTGAACTCAGCCCAGTAGCAAGTCAACTCGCTCTGTCATTGGATTTACAACGGATGTGCCACGCAAGACCCATAATTGTGACTTGTACCTTAACTCAAATGTCATTTTGCTTGATTCCAGAAGAGATCCTCGTTGGGCTATTATCCATCATGAACACTGTTCGTGGCATATCTGCACTGTATGAAGCCGACTCTTTTTAACGCCACTGGGGAAAAAATAACATTTAAAAAAAGCTTTGATGGACATTAAATTGCTTGTTGATTGTCCCTCAAACAGGAATCGGCCTTGGTACATTTGGTACCAAGAAATGCTCTTCAACTCATACCCGAGGTCAACTGCAGACACATTTGCAAGTGCGAGTTGCAACTACGATTTGACAACTGCGAATTTGCGAGTGTAATTTATGCTGTGTAATTTTTAACTCATGCTTTTATTCTTTCTCTCCGTATTATTCTTTTGCGGTTGCTCGTGTTCATGATTTGTTTGATGTGTCTTACCGAGGTAACTACCTCTCAAAACTTTCACCGTTGACAACCAACTTCGACCCGGACACCTGTGCAAAAAAAGCTTCAAAGGTCAACGGATTCTTCCGGCTTCAATCGATTGTCTGTGTCTCTTCCTTTTGTTTACGCCACGCTTGATGATAGTACGCGGCTTCTCATTCATTGTCTTGGCCACACATGGTAAGAACTGCAGCTGTTCCACTTTGTAAAGCTGAGGATTATTATTTTTTTGCACCGTGTTGGTCATCATGTCTCGAATACCAAAATTTGATTTTTTGCGACGGTGTTCATTTTTGTTGTTGCAAATGTAGATAAATATATATATATATTTTACTGTGGTGGCAAAAAAAGACTCCAGCTCAGCAGTGAAGATAAGGGCTAAAAGGTCGCGGTGAAACCACTGAAGCTAAAACAACGCACACTCACACATGATAATGAAATAATCTATTTATTCTGTACCAGTTGACACCCGTTAGAGTGTTATGAAAATACAACATATGATATAATTAGATACAGATTGTGAACATAATCATGAATCTTCCATTGACAAGACAGTCAGTAGTAATACATGACATTGTACCTTTTTAAGAGGAACACATTTTTTTAGATTGTAACCTTGTGATTCCATCTGTCATTTTAAGAGGGACTGTGGAAGCAATGCATTTGCCCTTGTGCATTTTTGTAGACCCACATAATACATGTGTACACGGATATATATGTCTGTGCAAGCTTGGTACAATGATATTACATCGTGATAGCAAAGCAGTCAATGCAGTATCTTCATATATTTTTTAAACATAGCAGCTGGTGTAATCTCGCACACACGATACAATGTTAATTCCAACGTGGAAGGAGAGCCTCCACAGTTTGAGATATTTGGTCGGAACATGGATCGCACAGAGCCAAACATTCCCCGTGTGGCCTTCATATGCTGTTGGGGCAAGTGCTGTTTGCGAGCGCCTGTGAAGGTTTGTACGTATGTACTGTATGTTGAACTTTTTTCGCACCGTACGTAGCCAACCGTGCAAAATCGGAGGTGCACAAACACGTGGAGTGGTCAGCACCACGTCACGCCACCGCATTGTTACTCACTTAAGGCCAAGTTGATCTAGGGGAGGCCCAGAACCGGTTCTGATACCACTCGCCACAGGTGAGTCACCTGGGTGCGCAGGGCTCGTCACACAGGAGAACAGCCAACTCGTCAGCCGATCGTACACCTCCGCACGCACACGCCAATGTACAATTGTTGGTGTTCGTGATGTAAGGTCACGTGTCGAGCGCATGGCCATTCCCTCCCAAGCTGCACTGTTCAGATAAACGATTGGGCGGTCGTGAATTGTGGTTGCAACCCAGCCAAGATCGGCCACACGCGGGGCTGACACTGTTAACGTTCAGACGGAAGATTTTTCCGGACAAAGTGGTTGCACTTATTTTGTGTCGTGTAAAATGAAATGCCCGGGTTGATGCCTTCATTTGGAATGCCTGTTGTGGTGGTGTGGGAGGGTGTGAGTCCTGTAAGTCGGACATGAGGAGCATGGTGGTCTCTGACGAGTAGAATTCCACACCTCTTGACTCTGTAACACTTTAAAAATGGTAATTGTTCCCAATTTATGTAATGTTTCACAAACTACTATGTTTAATCATGTACTTGGTTCTTTCGGTAAAGTCACGTAGAAGGGAAATAGTAAAATAATAAAAATAAAACATAATAAAATACAATCCTCACGACGTTTCGGCCACAACGCAAGCATCCGTCCTCAGGTGAAGAACAGGGCTGTCGGAAAGACAGCGTTTGAGTGAACACCACCACGCTTGGCAGCGTATATTTAAGCTGGGTTAGAGAAGGAAAGCGCCTTGACAAAATAATTTACATATCAATAGAGGAATTTAGCATATTTATGGAAAATGCAGATATGGGATTAGTCACTACTTGTGGAATGTGTAGGTGATGGGGGGGGGGGGGTCTCAAAGTCATATTATGCTCGTGTATTATGAAGGATTAGCAGTAATAAAGGGAGGAAGTAGGATTAACAATGAATAAAGTGAGGGAAATTTTAATAGTAAGGAGCTGCAGCAGCCAAACCACCACGTAAAAAACTAAAATATAAAATGCATCAATATCATCAATATACTCTCCAATAAACTGAGCTACTAACAGTAAGTCATACATTACACGTCTACGTCGCAAAAAATATAATATGCCTCCAACTAAACTTTTTTCTTACATCACACGGATATACCCCGTACTATACACTGCCATAGACAAACCTAACATTAAATTATACACTGCGTTACTATACACCACCTTAGACTATACATTGTAATATTACACTATGTAAAGCATACACTATGTGTGCTTTTGTAACAATTATATTTTAAAATAATTTGATTTATACTAACAAATCATATATTTTTAAAAATACAATTTTTGGTGTTTAAATAATGCCCATCTGCTGCTATTTAAAACGTATGGTGGAAATGTCTGTGGGTGGGTTCAGTTATTTTAAAACAATGTTTTGGGCATGACCCAACAACAGATTGTAATCTGTAGGTTTACCAGCAGCATGGGTTGTAAGCCCAGCCTTGTTTTTTTATCATTCATCCAGTTTTCCATCTGTGTTTTTCCAACGAAAATGTAAAACGAAATTATAGTAAAATAATTCTGACTGCTGTGCCCTCCCTATAAGTCTTGTTTCTCCCTCCATAGGAGCTATTATAATTCAGAATTTGGGTGTTGCCATAAATACTGGGATGTTTTCACAAGGTGACAGTTGAATGCATCTGTGATGATGAAGCCTCAGATAATTGAAACAAGTCTACTGAGTAAAACAAACCTTTAAATATTTCCCACAATTACGATGCAACAGGGGATTTGGCTTTCTGTATACAGTGTTTAATGAATTATCCTTAAGATGACTGATTAAAGCTATGAATCCGTGGGAATTGAGGGGGCATCAGCATTTTTTTCCCGAAGATAAGTCCACTCAGATCCGCTTAGGGATGTCCCTATGCAAAGGCGTGCATTCTAAAAACTAAACTTTTTTTAATTTTATCAGGTAAGGCCCACTGAGCCATATAGCTCTTTTTCATAAAAGACCTGACCACAAATGACATCTCAACGAAGTGGCTTATCACGTAGACATGTATAGCAGCCAAATAATGGAAATGAATGTTTCTAAATGTGGAGGGAAAAACCGGAGGACCCGGTGAACCACGGGGAGAGAGACATGTCAACTCCACATATACAGGTGTCAGGGTTGGGATCGAACCCACGACCTCCGGTATACGTGGCGAGACAGTTAATATCTGAAAACCATTGCATTGGCACTTCATGTATATAGCTAGCACCCTGGCAGTGATTGGATATATAACATACAACTGTATTAACCATGCAAGCATCACACATCTTACAACACAACTGTGTCAGCCAAAAAAGGAGTTGCCACATGTCAAAATGCCACTCTTAGCCAAGCAATGAATTATACCATGTTAAGCTTCAATCATCTTTTCCCTATTGTTTGATTTATTGCCATTTAATTTTCCACAAACTCTGAACCGAACAATTAGAAACACACTGCATAACTGAATTATAAACTGTGTGTATGTTTTAAAACAAGGCAGCCTATCGAGGCAGATTGGGACATCGATCCGACTGTTGGATTCTTCGATCAGTTGCTTTAGTTTGGTTGATTTGAAATATGGTCTGGTGTTACAAGCAATTGCAGTGACCCATTCAAGAGTTTAACTTTTTGGCCACAGCTAACAAGAAGAGCAATATCTGACCTGGCATGGCGCCAACTCTCACTATTACCAACCCGCCACAACAACGGTAGGTTTTCATCCGTCAGTGGATTGGAAAATGACTGCAATCATTACTATACTACACACATTACACGTACGGTATATACACAATCTACATTCATAATATACACACATAGAGCACAAAGACAATGTCCCCGTGCAGCTCTAAATGCTGTTGTGACACGTTCTCTTGAGTTCCATCCATAGACACGCACACATATAGTGTGCACATACACGATAGAGGTCTGTCGATGGGGCCATACTTATTGTGGTTACTGGACTTGGCGTCGGCATGACCGGACATTGTCCTTTAATTATTAATTTACTTATAAACTGCCAACACCTACATTTTAAAGTGTAGACCCCGATGTGCTTAGCTAGATTGGACAGCACACGAACGACGCATTCACGCAAGCACCCGATGCTCCGTTTTGAAGTTTTAATATGAAACATCTTTGAATTGTATTATGATTTGAATTAGATCATTGTATTTCTTCATTAAAAGCTTACATCATTTTACATCTGGAAGACTTCATTGAAAACGACATTTCGTGTGAATTTTCTATCATCGTTAAGTAGATGGCCTTGCTGGGGGTTCGGTTCGGTTCGATGCGGACTTTCACCTGTTTGGGATTGCGGGATGGAGATAAGGCGACATAGAGCTGCTGGCTGTGCGAGAAGACCGCCGCCTGCAGATCGATTCCAACACGATCGACCGTCTGTCCCTGTGCCTCCGTCGTTCATGCAGGGGGCGCGTAGGTTTGCAGCGCCCCCTGCATGAAAACGACGGAAAGTGCAGCGTTCATCACAGATAAAGTTGTGCGCTTATATAAGCGTATACTGTACATACTATATGTATATCTCTCGCCGGTCCCAAAAATGAGTGGTTTTTCCCTACAGGAAAAACTAAAAACAGGAATAAAATGTATAAAAGAACAAGAAAATCACTTAAAAATCGATTTAGTTGAAGTATGTAGCTGCAGTTACATACACGTATGTTTCCAATGCTAAAGGGGCATTGCCCATAAAAGCCATATGGCATACAGAAAATGTTACAACCAAAAAGGGGATGATATAAAACCGCGAATTTTTTAATGCTTTTAGGGGTGCAAACACGCGAACAGTGTCATGTGTAACATGTGCTGCAACACAGAACACAAACCACATGGATGATCGCAACTTTAAATGTTTGCAATGCTATGTTAGACAAAACCAGAACAAAATTCCAGCGATTTGAAACATTTACAATCCAAATCCCAAAAACACATTGTTCTATAAACGTACACTTTATAAAATTGTTCCGTTTTGTTGCCGAGTAACGCACGATTTCGAATTTGTAAAATACCAAAAGTAATTGTAAAACAGCAAAGCCCAGACGTGCGATAACGATAAGCTATTTACATTTGTAGCATTGATTCAAAGACCTATTGTCGGGACAACCGTTCCAAGTACGTCATCACCCGCACAGGCTAGAGATGAAAATCTGTTCTCCTCTGCGATGAATGGCAGTAGTATTTTATTGATGCGATGACAAGCAAGTGGGAAATAGGGTGAAGATGACATTGCTTGCCATTCAAAAATATAAAGGATCATCGCCAAATGGTGGTCAGAGTACACAAAGCATGCTCTTTTGGAGAGAAAAAAAACCCATATTTGGGATGTATTCTTCCCTGGCAGTGGACAAATATGAAACCTGACTTACAAAACCCTGACTTTGTAAGATGAAAAAATACATACTTTTCTTTAGTTCCACATTCTTTACACTTAATTTGACGATTAACTTCTATAACCTAAACCTGTTTTAAAATGAAATTAAATAGTATAAAAATGAAATTAAACAGTATTTAAATTTTGTTCAACAGTTGCTCATAAATCATAATATACATGAAGTTGTTGTTATGATGGCATAGAGCTATTCGTTTATGGTTATCCAAATTCATTTCGCGAATGGGAATTGGGAAACTTCTATTAAATATGCTCTAGTTCGCCTGAAGTTATGAGAAACATTTGGAACATGGCACAACTAATTGATGAACATTAAAACTTTTCTACGGTTCCATGATAACTTTCATATGTATCCAATGTCCAACATGTTTCAGTATGTCCACAACAAAGCTTTAATGCACTTATTTTGGGATAATTGTTGTTTTTAGGGGAAAGCCACACTGAGTCATGTGACTCTTTTTTCAGGATGGTCCAGCAATGGGTTTGTAGTTTTTAATTTAGTTTGAAGCCAATTTATGAGTGTTTATATATATGTAGGAGGAAACCAGAGCACATGGAAAAAAAACATCACACACACGAGGGGGGGGGGGGGGGCGGCAACACTATCTAAAGATCTGGTGAAAGGCACTCCCACAATCCAGAGACAGTAACGAATGACCAGTGTGTGTGTGGGAGCTGGGTCAAAGGATGTATCGGATAATACTTTTGGACAAATGGTGGGATATTGATTTTGACAAGTGAAGCTTAACAGAGCCAGATGGGCTAAAAGGTGAGCTTTTTTCACATGGAACAAAACAGCTGCACTTTGATTGCCATGGAGTACCCTCCCCCGCAAAGAGCACAGGCAAGGCAACACCCAAAGTTATCCAAACAAGTCAGATACACAGCATGCACCACGATAAGAAAGGACATTCCAACACACGGGCAGCTGTATAATATCATATTTTTGGAATAAGAGTGGGGTGGAGAAAAAAAAAAGTGCCGCTCTCACTCATAGCTCGTCATGTCTGTCATGAGGCTGGCTTTGTGGTGGTGGCCGGGTTTGGTGCATTTTCTCATTAGGGGCAAAATGACCGCCGCCAGCGCTTTGGGGCGCACGTGCTGGTAGGAATCCTTCCTCCCTCCCATTGTAAGCAGACGAAACCCTGTGATTCGAATCCCTTTCACTCCACTCCTCCTGCTGCCCGCTATGCTCAGCGTCATCGTTGTCATCGTAATCTTCTTCACCGTCCCCTGCATCTCTGTCGTCGGTGTCGGCTCCATTCGGTTTACGGTTCTCGGCGAACCCCGGTGATTCGGCATCCATGATGGCCAGAAAGTCCAGATTTTGGCGTGACGGAGGCCATGTCTTGTCTGGCAGAACAGCTGGGGAAAACAAATAGGGTGGGTTGGTGGCATTAAATACGTCAGTCTGCAACCAGCCACAATGATATATATTAATTTATTCCATTGCTGCATTTGAGCAATGTGCTTTTAAAATAACTTTGCCGGATGTTGTGGTCTTGTTAGATACAGCTTGAAAAGCTTTAGTTTGTTTTATTGCCTTTCCAATTCTCAACATCTGCGTATTGTTATGAAACTCAATGTTCTGTGTTTTGATATTAAATGAAAGCATTCATTATATTCTCCTCTTGCCTACAGCAATATGTTCAGGAGTTAAATGCCAATATCGAGGTCCGATAGCCATAAGAGGACTTCAGAATAATCCGTGTCATTTTTCTGTTCCTCCTCCTCCGTTAAAAGGAGCACAGGCCACAGTGGTTTACTAAACGGTCCCATAGTAAACCACTGCAGTCTGCGGATTTGGATACAAATTTAATGGAAATGAGCAACGTTTTTGTTTTAATGGCACTGCCCAAAATGTCGTTTACTGTTGATATGTGAAGCCATGCAAAATGAAAGGAAACCCACTCCATCAATTGACACGGAACTTCGAAAACACAAGCCGAGAAAAGTGCTCTATGTAAACAAAAAGCACTGTTAGAGACCTGAACAAGTCTATAATTACACATTAAAAAATCAAATACACTTTGGCTCAGACATCCATTCAGAGTTAGATCGTGCTGTAATCTACCAAGGGTTTATGAAATTGATGCTGCAGAGAGGCTATTCGCATAAACAGCGACTGGAGCGTGGCTGTTAATTACTGCATTCACAGTGCTTTCACCAGCCACACTTATGATGAAGACTTGAGAAGACCAGGTCAGTGAATCGAACCACAGAATACAACCTGTTTTCCATGGCATGAATCCTGAGTTCATTCACATATTTACGTGCTGTAACTACTTACTCCCGTAGTCACAGAGAAGCAACACAATGTAAGAGCATGGCACCGAACGTCTAAAAGTATTTGGCATAAAAATGGTCATGCTTTGTTCGTCCAATAATAATGAGTTTCATTTATAACACACACAAAATATGTGCAGCCGTCTCGAATGCAAATCAGAGGTGCTACAGTTAAAGTGACAAGAAAAGGAAGTGGTTTTTCCCCCACAAAGAATCTATTGGAGAAATAGAAGGCTCTTTAAAATAAATTGTGTCATGAAATGTGGCATCAGTTGAGGAATAAAAGAGGCTTTTATTGTTTACTTTAAAATTCTATCAAATGCTGTGCAAACAGCCTTCATGACGGTGGTGCCAAAGGCAACACACTGAGTATGGGTGGAAACAACTCCTTGCCAGAATGTTGTAATTTTTTATTTCTTCTCAAACTACGAGAACATTCTTCCGCTACTTTTCCTTACCAATTGAAAACATCAAGATTATGGTTCAATACGACTTCCGCTAATGTCAAAAAAGTCACTCATTACATTATTAACAATAATATATCCTGCAATGTGGCTCAACAGTATGGCGAGCAGGTCATAATCAGAAGGTTGTAAGTTCAAATCCTGGTTGGGGTCGACTCAATGATCCCACAGGGGTGGATGAAATGAGCATCGTGTGGAGAAGGTAACAGTGGTTGTCTTATGGATGGACTCGCCATAAAAATGTAGAAGTTTTACAACTGGCTCAGGGTTATAAACAGATGTGGGCTGCCGCAAATCTCATTTGAGCAGGACATCATTTTGATTTTGAAACAATAATCGAAGGATTACAGTACAAAGTACGATTTTGTTGTTTTGAGTTAGAAACTGGATGAATCTTAATAGAAAGTGTTTTGTTGAAATTTTATAGCAATGCAATATTTCAAGTTTTCGTAAGTTTCACTTCACCAATTTCTGCCTTTTGGACAAGTACTTGTAGTAACAGTGGTCCTTAACACCTCAGGCCATATTGGCAAAGTGCCAGTACAAGAGATTCGCAAACGCTAGTTTAATGAGGGGAGGGCAGGGAGGTAAAACATTCCCCGATCAGGACAACTTTATACTTTTGCATGCTCCCATGCTGTGGAAAAAATATATGCAAAGGAAAGAGATTCTATAAACGGGTAACATTCTGCATAAATGAAATTTTAAACGTGTGCTGTTTGAAAAGGAGTTACACATCGGTGGCGATGCGGGGAGGGACAGTGTTGTCCAGAAATCAAAGCACCCTCAAAAAAAGTGGCTCATTCCATCACTAAGTGAAAACATGTGGGTGTACAACTCGGACGGCTTGCTGCGATACACGGAGGCTAATTTTACTGACTGTGAATCAGTGCAATTAGTACTATTTTCCCTTCGCTTTTTTTACCGTCAAATATATTCATCATTGCCCTTGAGAATAATTTCCCCGGCCACTAATTTTGCATTCAGAGAGTTTCCTGAAATGCCTAGACTACTGGCGGAAATGCAGCAAAATACAAAGGAGTATGATTTTCCCATTTCTTGAGTCATATACTCGGATGTATTGCACATGCGCTGTGTGAGCTTAGACTGAAGTTATTTTAAGAAGTCAAAAAGGATGACTGACAGTTTTACCACGTGCTAAGTGGAACTTTCCCCTCGCTTAAATTAACCTATTTACTCATTGCAGCTACAGCCATACAATAAACTGCTAAAAAAAAATTCTAATTCCCTAAATGAAGCTCATCACTTTGTGACATGTCTGAGCGGGAGCACGTTTTCCACTTGTTGCAGAGGTTTGTGATGTTAGCACAGTGGCCACCCTGGTTAATACTGTGGGTATAATAACTACAAATATAGGCCAACTGCTTCACAGTGGACATTTAAGATCCCGTGACGTTATTCTGCAAAGAGTATGCGATGTGTACCAGCATCACGGTCCAAATTAGCCACGTGAAAAATTACTCAATGACTTAATTAGGTAAAACCACACTAAACTGTTTTTATTTTACCAGATAAGGTCCACTGAGCTATACAGCATTTTTTTCAGAAACGATCTAAATGATAGCTCAGCGAAGCGGCCTATCCAGTGGAAATTATAACAGCCAAATACGCTAAAAGAATGCATCTAAATGTGGATGGAAAAACCGGAGGACCCAGAGAAAAATCCATGCGACCACAGGGAGAACTCCAAACTTACAGGCGTCAGGGTCGGGATCGAACCCATGCATGAACTTCTGTATACTAGGCGAGCGGGTTAACATCTTTCCACCGCAGCGCCCAACATCACCCTCTACTGGCAGACTATACCCATCTGCGAAACACTGCGTCTTTGTGATAGCCTTGCGCTATAAGAATGGCACAAAAAACGATGTGAAGGTTTCTAACACATGCCGCGTTAATATCCTGATAGCCAAATAGTCACAGTGGTATCATTAGGTTATCAGATAATATCATGGTGCTCCTTCAGATCCATACCAAGAACGACCCTAATACTCAGACGACAGCTGACCTTTCAGACACTCCACTCGAGACAACACTTGGTGTTCATGATACATCGCTGATATTTTTTTGTCCAAACCTGTCGGCTGTAGGTTTCCAAGCCGGATACTTGTGAGCCACATAGAGATGGCAGAGCCGGTGAGTGGCTTGTCAGATTTGGGAAACGCGTAGACCTGTCCTGCGCCCTTGTGTGGGTTCACCAACACCAACTCCGGAGGGTTGGCTGTCCTCGGCAAGTATGTCTCCAGGATTTCCAAGCCCACTGGGTTGTCCACACTGCATACAAGAGATATAAGAAGCACATACCATGTTGTTTGTTTTACATGTGGAGACAAAGGCGGAGTTTGGCAGGGGTTCTCGCTTTGTCCATCACATTAGGCATCGAGGGTGGATATAATTCATGTTTAATCTTAATTGTAAACTACTGAAAATAAATTAAAGGTGCCTAGTTTGGGGGGGGCGCTGCCTATCCCGCCCCCCCCCCCCAAACTCCATCTATGTGTGGAGACCAGAAAATGCACAAGAATCATGTGCAACCCTTTGTCAATACACGACTGGATGACAGCCTCCCCACGCCATGTCGTCCATGAGGGTTGTTTAGACCGTACTTCACTATGCTGTGCAGTGTGCGTTGATGAAGGGAATGATTCAGATGTTAAACGTCCACTCATGTTCGAGCCATCGCCAGGAATTAAACTCAGGTTCCCCCGGCTCATAGTTCAGAATGCTCATCATTGTGCCACCGCTCCACCCAGACAAGTACGAAAATACGAACGTTTCCTATATCGTGCCGAGTACAATACAGACCAGCAGCGCACCACATGAAATACATGTCTGGTTTAAAACATGACATTTTGGAAGTTTTCTAAAGATTTACATTTTTCCCAGCATGCAGTTCACAGGGAAGTGAGCTCCTAGCCGTAGACCCAGCATACGCAAAGGTGCGCTCCCAAAAGTTGACTATTTATAGGAGGCTAATTAAATGAGACACTGGTGGATATCCTGAATAGAATCACTCTATTCAAACCTGCAACAAGATGATTCCACAATTTATTTTCCAAGTAGCTGTGCACAATGTTAAGGAATGCTCACGAGTGTGCCAGATGCATGCAGCGTAGCCTAGTTTTCCTAAAGGCGATGACACGCTTCCGGTAACGTGTCCGGTAACGTGTTCATTATATTGCTGAAATGTCTCAATTGTCCTGGGAAATGCAACTAAAATTAGAAGAAGAAAATCCAAGTCAAACTCGTGGTTTTGTCGAAAACGATTCACTCTACACTTCTCTTGATGCATCTACCCTCACACTGCTGGACTTTGGATCTCCCCCTTCCATCAACTCGATTACCAAATGAATCCAAGCTTGTTCAATTCAAGAAACATATGAACTGTTATCTATATACACCTATAATAGTGAAAGCGTTTTTTTTGCTGAACACAAGGTGTATCAGGATTTTGGGTCTATGCTCAGTAACTGTGACGAAAAAATCAACGTAAAACATCTTCTCGGCTCAAGATTGATCAGGTTGACTACAGCGTGGAATGGATACGCGATGGGGCAGATGCGTGCAGGCATTACGTGTCCATCCAGCAAGCCGTGCTGTAAGCCAGAGCCCCGCTCCGAGCTGCGGCTTCCAGTGTACGCATGGCTGACACGGAGGCTCCATCGCGGCCTCCAACAAACAGGATTAAGAGAGGCCGGCCGACACGTAGCAGCTCCGGTAGCAGCGACACGCTCAGCTCTGCCTGCAGGACAAGCGTTAAATGTCGCGAGTTAAAATGTAACGCGTTTGTACGTGCCAAAGAGGAAAATGCTCCCGAGAGAACAACAGACGTGAAAATTGAGGGACGATGTCGTCCTTCAATTTTAAAGCCGTGGTATGATGCGGGACAGCGACAGAAAGGGAAGATCATTCAGACACTGTCTCCCCGACAGACCTGGTCTTCACCTGAGGACGGCTGCTTGCGTTGTGGCCGAAACGTCGTGAGAATTATTTTATGTTTTATTTTTATTATTTTATTACTTCCCTTCTACGTGACTTTACCGAAAGAACCAAGAAGAAGAAAGGGAAGATCTTCATCCAGCAGTGGATTAATCATGGTAAAGGGTGATGATGAGTAAACGTTTATGGTACTAAAGTGGGGTAACATGAGCTCGAGTTTGTTTTGTTTTATATGAAATATGGCTAAAGATGTTGTATGGAAGATACAAATATAGGCGACTTGATTTGGTTTCAAGTGAATTTTGTATTATGGGCGTTTTCCTTGTGACATGCCCTCATTCTATTTATGAATACATTAGCGTGGCGGTTTAAAAAGAGTCAGAGATGATATCTGTAAGACAATTAAGTTTAATCCAGAGACTTCACTTTGTTCTCCTAATCAGCGGAACCACCACGAGGCGATGCCGAGTTGTTAGTGGTGCGGCACTGAACTAAACTCTCGTTGGGTATGTTTTTTTCTGAAACGGGCATTTAGCTGTTTGCACATTGCAACGAAGCGTACAGGACACAGCTGACACTTTCAATTGCAAATTTGCATGTTGATATGTAAATGCCTGACAAACACAAATTACTTCGGTGGCCAAACAAGGTGCTATGAAATTGATAAGAATGTGCTTTATGAAAGTATTCTACAAAATTCCATTGGAACCTGCATGCAAACAGGCAAGATAACGCTGAACGTTGACATGAAAAAACATTACTGGTGAAAAAATTATACTCGTGTGAATGATAAAATGAACATCTAAATTGGACAGTTTTGTCAATGCAAGTTTACAGGAAACAGTGCATTCCATATAATTAAAACGAACAACAGCGTTATTTAGAGATTTCATAACACAAACGTTTGCGCAAACTTGAAACATGAGTTCATAAACGAAAATGCATTTAAATTTGAAAACTCATTACATGCACTGTTCAGTCTCCAAACGGTAAAACAAACTAATGTACATATATAAAGATGTAAAAGATTAAATAGGTAAATTTCAATACTGTCAACGTGAATGCTGTTGACAATAATTTATTTAATCGGTTATTGTCAACTGCATATAGTGGTATGGAACAATGGTAAGGCTGACTGTGGGATGATGTGGCCAGCCTCATGCATGCTACCACCATTTTCATGACGTTGATGTTGACACACCGCACCAATTTACTTTAAGCTGGGTAAACCTTGGGTAGGTTCAGGGCATTTCCATATATCCATTGCCAAAGGTGTGGACAGCAGGAAATTAGACCTGTACCACTGGGACCATAGAACAAGGCACGCACACCACGATACTACCACCCCCAACGCATGGAAACATGTTATGTAACACTGCTGCGTAGTACATTTCCAGTACAAAATACACATCCGCATTGATATTAAAGATAAAGGAGGAATTTTTAAACGAAACCAAATGTTTGGAATGCCAAGATACTGGTGTGTAAATAATACTTTCAAATAGAAGGGATTGCGAGATAGGGTGGGAAATAATATGGGAGGCTCATTGTTGAGATGCATGTTTGAATCTGCGTAATTTACAAGAGCGGCATACAAATGCAGGCTGGCTGGAGTCGCGGATAGTTTTCACAGTGACATCTGCGCTGATCGGCCGTGGGAACGCAAATGTCTTTAAAAAAGGTTCCCCTCGTTTGAAGACAATTATGGAAGGAATGGCACTGCCAAGTTGAGTGGACCTAACAAGTAAAAACATTGACAAAAAAGGAAAGCCATCACCATTATACAACACAGACACAACACTCGTTTTTTAGAATGCTGATGTTTAAAGTTGGAGCAGAAGAAAAACGATTTAAAAAATGTCAATATGAACTGGGAAATATCCACGCAAACACAACAAAACGTTACTGCATTGTATACACTACTTTTACCACTTTCATTATGTGGCTTTTTAGATCACTAATGGTGTTTATAAGGCCATCACTGCCAGCCACGCGAGTTTAAACTGATTTCACCTCCAGAATGGAACTGAGCCATGGTGGCAGGTGTGACTTACACATCCAAGGCCACACGATCGGTGATGCACAATCCCATCAGAACTTCTCCTCTCAGGGCCTTACTGGCTTCAACAAAGGCTGTGGTCTCTGCAACATTAAATAAAAAAAGCACTTTTTCAATACATCATCATTCACCGTGTATTGATTCGCAGCAGTTTGGATCAGTGTGATTTCCTCTCATATCAAAGCAGGGGCATTTAACCCTATAAAGCTTTTTATTTACAGTCCTTTGTCAATCCACAACTAGAGGAGGCCTCCCCACGGTGGGCCAGTCATGGGGGTTGTTTGACCATATTTTACCAGGAAGGTCAGTGCAGGTTTAGTAAATTGTGGGAGAAGCAAGAACTGTTCAGATATCATACATTACGCCATGTCCGGCAAATCAAATTCAAGCCGGTGGTGACATGGCACATGGCTATGTGGTTTTCGGTTCTGGTGCTGGTTAATATGCCGTGTGTATTAACGAAAAATACCCGCCATCTGCTTAGCAGTGGACATTAAAGAACCCGGGACGTTAATGAAGTAAAGTAGTCCACGTGTGCCAGCTTCATGGTCCAAATGAGCAAAATTTGAAGATCACTTGCAAAAGACATAATTGGGGAAAGTCACGTAGCAACATTATCTCCTGCTGTGAAACTACTGCAGACTGTAATCATCTGTGAAATAGAGTACCTCCGTAATAGCCTTGTGCGATAACGACGCGAATACCAAATGTATTGATGATCTGATTTTATTCGGGTCGCTGGGTCCATAAACAGTGTGTGAACCACTGCACCACAGCTAACCCCCATATAAAGTATTTAGTCGAGTGAAAGTGACTTAGGCTTAAACAGGCTTTGGGCAGTAGTTATTTACTTTGGTAATCCTGTTAGCAGTGAAACATTCCACATTTCAATGGCAGGAGCCAGCCTCTCCAATGGACAACCACTGCAGCGTGATGTTTTTCAGTGATGCTCATTTTATGGATCACAAAGGGATAATAGGCTGAGCAGCTCCCCAACCGTGATTGTAATTCACAAGCGTTTGATTGTGAGTTGGGAACTCTTTTATCTTCTGGAATTGTTTGAAATGTTGGCGAGACACCAGCATACAATGGCATATTTTTGCAGTGACATTAGACCACTTACCTTATAGAGTTAGCACACATTGTGTTCACATTTCATAATGTTCTCTTAGAACATTACTGGGGACATTGACTGTATGAACACTTAATCAAGAGACAGGAAAAATAACCTCAAGGCCACCCACAAGCAAGAAAACACTTACATTTTTTCTATTTATTGTTATTTAAATCCAGAAGATGAAACCCAAACCTGCAGCTACAGGACCAGATGGTTGTATTTTAGAAGCTTCAATAGGTGAACACTCCAAATTGAGTCACTGAACAAACATTTGAAGGAACTCCAAAAACAAACAGTTACTCTGCATATAAAATGCTTTTAAGTTGTTACGTTGGCCTGAGTTTGTAATAAATCTAGTGCTCTAGGCACGGCTCACCAGCAGGCATGTTGACTGTGAGCAGTGCAAGGGCAGAAGTATTGCAAAGGTCGGCAGCACAGCTGGGCAAATCCCCTCGCAAGAAACCCATCGCTTCTTCCACCGAGTGCAATGGTAGTGGGCTGTCTACTCTAATCCTGTCACAATGAACAAACACATTTACGGGCATTTTAGGTACATTGCAAATATCAAACGGTGTAAGAGTGCACACACTCGCATGTACAAAATGACAGGGAAGGGCGATAAGACACCGATGTGATGTTAGTACAAATGTTATTTAATACTCACTCAGAGCAACGGTTAAATCTTGTTAAGCAAGCAGCTTTAGTTAATTTCATGTGTTTGTTTGGCTTCTAAATGGAAGGTGTAATGTAAGAGGCCTTGGATATGGATGACAAATATGTTTAATGAAGCCTATAGACGAGTGCATAAATAATCAGGGCATAATTAATCTATCCAGTTATTGTATTTGTCTGGGTGATTCTATTTGTTTTAGAACTCATTTCTCACTGAATTGTAATTATGCACTTTATAATGCTCACACCGAGGATATATTTAATGTGTAATCATCAAAGGGTTGCTGTATCTGAGTAACATCTTATTCGTTTACACTTTCTTCATCACTGGAGCAAGTGCAAGCAATTGTCAAAGATTCATCAAAGACATGTTTTTGTCATGACTACAAATGTTAATTGTTTTCCCGCTGATTAAAAAGTAACCCCCTGTATCAATGTAGTTACCGATAAAATATTTGCTGTGGATGGTAATGAGCCTTAACATTGAGCTTGACAGTGATAAAACACTTTCAGGACAAAGTGTAATTTTCCTGTATTTGTAACCTCCAAAAACTCACCCACAGCTGCCAGTGACATAAATATACTGGCACAGGCTCATGGCTGGCATACTTACAACCCGAGGGCCGGCAGATTTAATCGGTGCTGCAAAACCATTGAAAAGCATATAGGGATTGCAAAGAGATAACAAAAAAATTCCCCACATATTATTGTTGAGACTTTCTCACATACATCAGACAGTATATGTGTGTGTTGTGCACATTATCAACTTTAAATGTGCTAAGGGAAAGTGTGCAGACACTGACACCTACATCATATGTACAGGGGTTTGTGGGAGAATTGGGGCTTGGGGCCAGTTGCTGCAGATTCTATGAATAATGCTGTTTTTGTGTTGGCAAACTACGCGAGTTTATTAAGGCATTTGTGCTGTGTATATACAATGCAGAAAAACCCGCACTACATGGAATTTATGATGGCTCTGACAGCACTTACCCAAGTTATACTAATAGCAGTAGAGGCCCACTCAATCTATCACGACGATCATTTGCTAATGCCACCATGACGTCCCAAAACAAATATTTTTCTGTCATGGTTCGAATTACTGTTTGAATACTTGCAAAAGTAAATATTCTCATAATAATATTTGCAAAACATATTTACAAATGTACTTTTAAATAAACTCGCATTAGGGACATATGGACTGCCTGATTTTAACACATTGGTCATTTTAATATGTACAATATGATACACTATTTTTAAGCATCTGTACTTTTTCACATCTCATTTCCTAACATGCTCGGTTATTCAGTTTAACACGTAGTACCAGGCTTTCGCGACCAATATCATTCATAATAAAGGTTTTTGGCTTAGATCGCGTAAATATAAATGTGTCGTAACCCTCCACCACCCGACACAGCCAATTAGTAAGGGATTTGCCACGTAAACAAAACGCCAATTAGTTTACTACTTCAGCCCACCGGTGTGTTGGAGAGCAAATCCATAACATTTACAATTTGAGTAGTACGATGTTTCGCTGCTAATTACACGATTCTGGCAAATCGCCCGATGAAGCTGGCTGTGGCAAATCCCTTACTAATTGGCTGTGTTGGGTGGTGGAGGGTTACGACACAATTCTAGATTTGAAGCTTTCGTGACTGCAAGGATTCATATTCTTAGGTTTTTTCGGTAAAGTCACGTAGGTAAAAAATTAAAATTAATAAAAGTAAAATAAAATAAAAATCACGACGTTTCGATTGCAACACAAGCAATCATCATCAGGTATAAATGAAATAGCAACAAAACATTCTAACCAGAAAAACTATACGACACATTTATACTTAAGGGTTACGACACATTTATTACTTAAACGATCTAACCCAAACACCCTCTATTATGAATGCTCAGTTATACAAACTGAACAGCTTTGCATTGGGTCACATAGCTTATTATGATTTATTAGGCTAATAAAATGATAAATATACAACACATTCATCAACAGCACTGCCCTAAAAGTTACAAAAATACATATACTGTCTGAGGCAAGAGATATATCTGCTATGAAGAAGGGACATTGCCAGAAATATCAACTCTTTATATGGGTATATATGTATATAGTATTATTTTAGGGTAGTGTTATTGATGAATGTGTTGCGTTTTTGTTATTTGTGCTTGTGCACCACTGCTAATGCAGTATCGCCATATAATTTATTTAACTTAGAGATTATAGTTGCTCAAGCTAGAAACATTTTGGAATATGCCAGCCATTATTATGATAGCTTAATCAAGATTTGTAATATGCCTGAAGTGCTGTCAACAGCCTAAATGAAAATGGCACCGAATTTAAGGTACTGTTGGTTCAGTAAGGTAAAACAAATACAAAAGGTGGCTGAAAATGACATCGAATTGTCAAGAGTAATTAGTTGATGGTTTCAGCCTAGTCACTAATGGCTGCACAAATACAACATTTAAAATGTGGTTTTGTAATTAATTTGGCGAAATTCAACATCTGAGAATTACAAATATTGCTTTGATCGTCACGTACAAGCATTCCTCGTGTGGACGAGGTAATTTTCAAGGGATCTCAAATCGAGTTCCATAATATCTGCTTCTGTCGGCAGTTCTTTTAATATGTGGAGTTGCATTCCTCTGTTGTGTTTTAAATGGTTAATCTTAGGAGAAAATGCTGAGTAGTCAGAATAAAAGTCTTACTCTGCAGTAATTAACATAAATTAAGCTCACAATACACCCATCGATTGTCGTGTGCAAGATTCAAAAGTTTTTTTTTAATTGCTTCTCTTTTATGCCAGTAAAATATAGCGCTCTGCTTGCTATTGTACAGAACCTTTTCTGGCACCTCCTGCTCTCATTTTTGCACAGGTTTTTTTTTATATTCGCAAGTGTTTCAGTTAGGGCCATTAAATACCTCGATTGTTAGTTGTGCAATATTCCTGAAGGACCCTGTACTCGTTCTCTGCAATATTGGTGTTTTTGTCTTTGTTATTGTTGCTGCTCGTAAAATAGCCAGACAACTGGCTAAACAGGATCATCCGTGTAACAAATAAAATAAATTTTAAATTAAACAACCATCTCCCTGCTTTCTCTTTCCCACCAAATCTCTTCAAGTTATCCGCCAATCCCCTGCGTTTTCCTGCCTGGCTGTGTGTCAAGCGTTGTTTCAATAATAATTTACTTATGGTGTCCTTAAGTGACATTTACACATACATTCCGGAGTTTGTCCGATGTTGTATTTCAAATGGACTAAATTTCAGAAACAATATTTCACTTAGCAACTATAGGAATATTGCATATGCTCAAATCGAAAACTAACATTGCTTTTGGAAACCGATGCAAACATTGTATGAATTTGACTTACAACTGTCTAGTATACATTAAATATTGACAAGCCAAACAAAATTATCCATTTCCTGATAATGTGCTTTGAAACATTCTAAAATTGGTTATTCATATCGTACGTATTTTTTACAAGTAGGACGTAACTTTTAAAGTGAGAAGTGAGTAATATTATACGCACGAATGCCAAAATAACAGTAATTGCACCCTGTGGGTGTTCGGTCACTTGAGATAATATTTAGAATTACATGGTTGCTGTGGCTAAAACCACAATTTCCTGTTATGTTGAACACACAAGAATTGAAAAAAAGCAAGTAAATGCTACTGTTAAAGAGGGAGTGAAAGTGAGCGAAATTTAATCAAAATACGTGTGCTCATTATTCAGGCAAAGAGTGTATAAACACTGACAAGATCATGCTAATTTCATGGGTAAAGTTTATTTAATAGACCTCCATCAATCCACTGCTGAAGACATTGCAAAGCCACATACGTAATGGGGATTGTTTGGCCATACTTGGCCATGCCGAGATGGTGAATGGAGATAGCTAGGACTGGTTGAGATATTATTCCACTGCCATGTTAGCCATGGCATGGGATCAAACTCAGGTTGCTGGGTTCATAGCAGTGCACTCGCCAGCTCACCATCATGGTATACTTACTTCAATGCATCTTTATATGAATAATAGGTTATGTATGTTACAATTATTTCGCACTGCACGTAGCCAACTGTGCTCATTGAAGGTGCGGGAGAAGGACAAACTAAACAGGTATTTGGAGATCAGCATTACTGAGACAAGAATACAAAATAAATCAACACTCGATGTTTTGAATGCCCCAAGGGAAGTTGACACGCATGGGGTACAATTTCCTATAAGTGAAAAGCATTTTATTACCAAACATTCAATAACAAACGTCGTATATTGTAAAAAAAATTGGTGCGTTTTGAAAACACAATGGGTGAAAAAGCCTTCTGCCAATATGAGATTCAGGCCCATGGATTCTTTCAGGAGAGTCACGGTGAGGGATAACGAGAGAGCAAATTACTCACATCGCCACCCAGCTGAGAAGCGCATCCCTCGACAAGGTTCCGGGGTAGGCGGTTGGCCCCTGAACCAGTGATGAAAAGAGCAACACCACGGGGAGGCGGCTCGCGTTGGCATGCTGGCAAACATCCGTCCACTCGGCACAGTCCACGCGCCACGGGGAGACTCGTCTGCCAACACCGCTGAAGGCTGCTGTGTGCACAAAATGTCAGACTTCTTAGGGCTGGGACTGGTGCAGCAAATGCCATTAAGGTTGCTCTCACATCCGCAAATAAGGCGTTTATTGGATGGAAATTGTGTTTAAATATTTGTCTTGGATAGGGCACGCGGGCAGACTTTCAAGTTTTAAGTGCACGGAGAGTGAAATTTTTTTAAAGTCATACTTATTGGTAGGTGGACCACATTTCATGACAGTAATTATCTGGTGTGTTGTAAAATGCATGATGAATTTAAATACTAAACCATTTAGTGTCTGCTTTCTCAATCCATCAAACATTTTACCAAGAACTAAATTGACATTCACTAGCTTAGATAACCATATTTTGAGGATGTAAATTATGATCTATATCGCAAAATAAAAAGTGAATTCTAAACGAGCCAAAGGCTGATTACCAGTTAAACTCCTTAAAAGTCACATACCTGATATCTTGTTGGCAACTTCTGCAAAGGTCCATAAAAAAGCTTTAGAGACAGCATCCCCTTGTGGATGAAAACACAAGCTACATTTATTCAACAGCAAAAGCTGCAACGTGAAAAATGTCAACGGCATGACACCTTATGTTCTTGTAATACATGCGTTAAAAACCAATACTTTTTTTATCAGCAATGTATTTTACAAATAACAATACATAAACTGTGCACATAAAGTAACAGTTGTAATCATTTTGCACAAGTTCTTACGCAGCGTTGCGACTCGTTACCCTGCATTGAATACGTATTTTTCATTTTTATAAACGTACAGCCAAGATAGAAGATGACTAGATCCATGTCTGGCTGCGATAAGACCCTTTGGTAGCCGACGTCTGTGAGTGCAGGGACGGATTCTTCCAGGTTGAGCTTCTTATTTTTGATTTTTTCTACAGCCATTACAACTTCATCATCCTGCATGGCTGCGAGGTAAGACCATATAGACAAAAACCGGCACAACATTTGAATACTTACACACATGGACAGAGCAATTTCTGTGACAATTTATGAACTAATTTGTGGGGAGAACCTATGTTACACAATTCAAGTTTACACATAGGTTTTTCACAGCCGATACTTTTACGCATAAGCACAATTTTCCCATTCATAATGAATTCAATTAACAAAAAAACTCACGATAAAACTCTCCCCCGAAGAAGATAAAAAAAAATACATGAATGATTGAGATATCCAGTTCAGATAATTGTAATCATATTTAATGGACTGCTCATAACTATTGCAAACTCCAGCCACAATAATTGTGATCAGTCCAGTTAAATATGAAACAATAAACTACATTGCACCAAGTACATCTAAAGCATACAAGACGTATAATTGCATTCATCCACTTTGCAGCTATTAATTTACAGTGATGTCAATGCATTTGATTGCAGTGTCAATCGCTGAGATATTAACATTAACGAAACTGAAGAGTTGTTACCCCAGAGTGGCATAAAGTCTGAGGAAGAGGGGTCATAATCATCTTCTTCTTGGGGCTGACCATAACCACTGTGATCTGGCTCCTGCTCGGAGCCATGCGTCTCCTCCCGCTCCACTCGGGTGATCACCGCCTCAAATGACTGCATCAACAGATGCTCCACCTTTGCGCTCTGTAACCAAAAATGCATTCTTGAAAAAAAAAACAAGCTTGGCCATTCACTTTTTAGTTACATGTTGAAAATCATGTGCTTTATGTAGATGTCCTGATGTAGGTTTTCACGGCTTGATGTATGAGAAATACTCATAAAAGATGTTATTTTGGGATAGCCGTGGAAACCTGCTGCTTTCTCCTTCGTGACGTTTCTCCTCCCACGTTGGAGGCATCCTCAGGCAGAAAGGAGCAGCGCTAACCACGGCTATGCCGACAGAACAGCTTTTAAGAGCATGTTTTTATGCAGATTTCAGCAAAACTTACTGGATTTGCACCTCTGTAGGCGACATTGAAATCAGTTGGAAATGCAACTCCGTGTTCCTCACTGTGGCACATGATACAACACAACACAACACGAAACATTACAAATAGCACGGTTCGTTGCAGTTTGCCTAATGCAATCAGCAGGATGACTAGGCAGCCTACGGGATGTCCTGTGGCCTTGTTGTAAAGAGAACATTACCAGCGGACAAGGACGACACCGGCTGAGCCCAGCAGGCGATGGGACAAGGTGCGCGCGGTGGTTTTGTCATATTGGTACGTCTCTCTCCGTGAAAACAAAAACACCTCTGGGATGTGCAGCTCCGAAAAAATTGTCTGCGCATGTGCAGGATCCTCTGTTGTTTCCACCTGAAAACGAAACTAGAGTTAGCAAAAAATAAATATATATACAAATACCTAAAAGTGCATGGGACAGTGGCTTGGTGGTTAGCATAATGCAGTGTGGTAAACACCACACTACTGCTGCATATTTTTTACAGTTGTAAGTAGTATACAATTACCATTCGGTTAACATGAAGGTACTTTTGTGCAACCAATCAGCAATGGACTACAACTACTTACCATCTGTGTTAATAAATGATTGTTCTTTCCAAATGTTACTCACATAAGGTGGCCCTGAAGCGAGCTTAAAGAAGCGATGCAAGTAAGGCAAGGTCAAGGGCTGCCGGAAGGCGGTCTCGGGGCATGGCTGGTCGTCGCTGAGTGACAAAGCCCCACAGCTGATGAGCCATAGGTGTGGGGAGAAGGAGCTCTCCAGCACTCTGTATGACAGCAAAGGAACAAAACAATTCGTAATGCACACCAGCATCTGTGGAATGTAGGATTAAAACCAAGGAAACTGTCACCAATTAATAAACAAACGCATCCATTACGTGAGATAACAGGTAGATGGAAAATATTGTTCATGTTGTCACAGAGAAGAAAACATAGAACTTGGCATTTTGGCTGATGAGGTTTTCGCGATTGTGCTGTGTAACTCTCCGATGTGTTGTTGGGTTTCGATTTAAAGCTTTCGTGACTGCAGGGATTCATATTCTTGGTTCTTTCGGTAAAGTCATGTAGAAGGGAAATAATAAAATAATAAAAATAAAACAATAAAATTATCACGACGTTTCGATTGCAACACAAGCAATCATCATCAGGTGTGAAAACCACACCAAGAACATTTTTGAAAAAGTTTTTTGCAATCAAAACGTCGTGAGAATTTTATTGTTTTATTTTTATTATTTCCCTTCTACGTGACTTTACCGAAAAAAACAAGAATGTGTTTTTGGGTTGTACAGCGTGTTTTTTCGTGTTATATATTACGTCCGGTGTTTTCTCAACATGCTGGAAGCTCCGTTGGGAACTAATAAAACTGAAGAAGCTCCCAGCATGTTGAGAAAAACATTATACATAATAGCGAACAACACGTGGTACAACCGGAAAACACATCGGAAAGCTATTTTTGCCAAGTAATCTTCAGGAAATAAAAGCCAGGAGGCTGAAATGCTGAGCTCTTCCTTTTCACTAAGTGATGGTAAAAGCTGTTTTATACAAATAACATTGAAATTGTATGCATCGGTTAATGAAAACAGCAACTTAATAAACTTTCCCTTAATTACTGTAATCAAGATTTAGGTACAAACTCTCAGTTTATTTTCCCAAAACTTTAATAGTGCTCACCCAAGGTCCTTTAGAATGTTTTGGTCCGTTGAGAAGGCAAAGATGAATTTGTTTCCATAAACAAATGCCATTTCTATGAATATTCTGTGTTCTGAAAGTAAAACCACATCACTCGGATAGGTTAGTAGTAATCTTGTAAAATGCTAAACAAAAGTGCAAGGGGATCCATATATAAACAACTCATTGATTTCCAATTACCTCAGTATACGCATAACTGAATGCTGCAAATAAATTACTCCAGATATGTTGGATGAAGTGTATTCGGAGAATTCTAAAAGATTAAATACGTTGACATTGGTGGGAGACATGTAGACGATTTGAATTTAAATACATTTTTCTCTTTCTTTTGAAAATTGTAGTTGTGTCTTTAAATAGATCACTCTATTTCTACCTGTTTATGCATACTATAATGGAGTTTTAAACAGAAGTTATATTCAACCGTAGGCAGGAAATGAAAAGCTATAGTTACAAGTCACGTGCAGTTAGTTTAGGGGATTTATCTATCCACACTGACCACGCAAAAAGCAAAGTGATTTGCACTTTTTTCTCAAGGCATTCATACCTGGAAGACCAGTAGCACGGAGATAAGCAAACACAACATCCCTACGGCCCTTTTCTGTGTCCTTGAGGATCTGCAGCCCTTGCTTATCTTGGACAAATCTCACCTCCTCCATCAAGAGCAAGCTGTGGAAGTTTAACCAAAATAACAATGACACTTGACAAGATGGTATACTCTTCCTTTCTTAAATAACTCAGGAAGAGATTTTTTTTACCTAGAATAATGATTGAATCACACACTATAACACATATATACTGTATGGCATTGTTACTTAAAGATGCATAACGAAAGTATAAGTGCATAACAAAATATAATGTTCAGCCATTTCTATATATATCCTGTAACTTACTATAAATGTTTTATTACCCCACATTAAATACCCTTTAAAAACACATCCCAGTATCTGGAGGGTTTTTTGCTACATGCAACATTTACCCTCCACATGAGCGTACACGTTGTTTTAAGATAAAAAAAAAATGCTGCTCGGCCAATTCCCGCATTTTGGAGTGGGTCACAATGATACTTACTGCAGAGTGTTGGCCATGATCGAGTCGACATCGAATAGAGTGTCGAGGTATAGGGGTTGAGGTAGTTTGTTCAGCCTGCAATAGAGATTACACACCGTATGGTTTATGTAAGAGGATAACGTTCCAAAGCTATAGAAATACTTTCCTGTCCACCATAGCTGTGGCCCATGAAATGAAATGATGTCAAGACTGGACACTTACTGAAAGAGATAGGCTTTGTTGATAATATTGTCTTTCTCACAAAAGTGATCCACATGGTTTTCTTGGCAGTCAACCTGAAAAATATTATACAGTGTAATACAAAAAGAGAAACACAGTGATAAACACATCACTTTTTTAATATAATGCTTTAATATGGTACCCCTGTTATCTCTGTGTTTAATGTAAATACCTGCCACACTGAAATTGCATACTGTTTAAGCAGTTCAGAAGCGTTATCCAGATTCTTCAAAAAATGTTTCACTTGGATGGTACCTGTGGTAGAGCATAAAAAACAACAAGCTTAAATGTCCTCATCGATTAATCAATTTTCGTTCATTTTCACACTCATGATCCATGCACGAAGTAGTGCATGTGAGAATACATTATTTCGTTTATGAAAATGACACGAAGATGACATTTTAAGTTGATTTTACTTGCAACACGTATGATCGCGTTTAGCTGGTTTCCCCCGGCTATCTCACAAGGGAAATCTCTGGTGCTTGAGCACAACAACAACAAACAAAAACATAAACATTGCAGAGAACGAGTTTGGGGTCATTAAGGAATATTGCACAACCAACAAGGTGTTTGACAGTCGTAAACTAAATACACTGCGAATTTAAAAGAACATGCAAATCTGAGAGTGGCGCCAGAGTTAGGTACAAGCTCTATATTTTAGTCCTAACAGTGACATAAACACGCAAATAAAAAAACCAGTTGCAAACGTGCGGCGAGAGGTGCCAGAATGTTAGGTATAGGTGCAATTATGCTCTGGGTTTTGGTGTAATAGGGAAATAGACATGGAGAGAAGGGAGGGAACTAAGCTGCAGATAAGCGGCAAGAGCATTCCAGAAATGTTTTATTTAGGCTAATGGAGCAGAATACAATTGTACAAAGGCGACAAGACGACCAAAACATTAATATAAGAATGCAGTAAAAAAATACAATTTAACCGCTAACATTCAACAAATTACTTGGGATGGGGCAGGGGAGTTGAATACTTAATGCCTAAACCAACTCATACAGCTGCAATTAAATAACACATTTCTTAAAATAATTACTCTAAATATTTCAACACTGCATGGTGGAAGAGCCTCCACTAGATGGGAGATTGACAGCCCCTGGTGGAGTATTGGCCCACACCTTCACACTGGCCACACATCTTGGAAGAGAATACATTACATAGCGAAAGCACTATATCAAATAAACACACATTGAAATAACGTTCACAATGTACTACTTCCACAAGTGTCAAGTGATATGCTCATACTCAACCTATGCACGGATTGTCAATAAATGTCCGTTGCCGATGGTCCACATCTCAATGAATGCACGTGCATGGTTAAGCACATGAAAGTAGTTAAAGGGGGGAAGGGGTAGGGGGAAGTTAAATCTACAAAGCTAACCGGTCTTACTTTTCTGTTTAAAATAAATTAGGGAAGAATATGGAGAGTTGACCACAGTGTTCATGTCGGTGGATTTGAGAGATGGGACTGTGCAGAGCGACAGTCCAGGCTGCTGCAGCAGTAGCAGCAGCATTGGCAGCAGCAGCATGACTGTGTAGCGCCACCTGTAAACCACATTTGTGAACTTGAGACTTTTGGCACATGCAGACTTGCATGTGCTTCAAAATAATGGTAATGAAATAACCGAGATGTCAATCGAGTACATTAAATAAAACAACAATTTAATTCACTTTATTTTTATTATTTTATTGTTATTATTTTTTCTATCTACGTGACTTTACCGAAAGAACCATAGAATATAAAAACATTGTTCTTAATGCCAAATCGACGTGCATTTTGTAGTAAAAAAAAGTTATCACTGCCAGGTGCATATATGTAACTTTTAAGCATATCGAATGCGCTGCAGACTTATACAATCGTGCAATACTCAACAATAAGTGAACATGACCATATTTAAATACTGGTGTTATTTTAAAACGTTTTATAACTGCGCAAAAAACATCATCCTTAACCCCAGCTATAACCCGAATGATTAACCACGTCTCAAAACCTTAGCCCCAATCCTAAACAGGAACCTTGTATTATTAAACACGAACCTTTTATGATTAAACAAGATTCTAGGCACAACGCCGGACCTTAACGAAGAACCACAACGCTATCTTCGGTGTCCAACCCAGACGCGCCTTGCTGGTTCATGCACAGTACACGGCCTTTTGCGAGTACAAGTTGGACAATAATCACGTTTATAGGCAACACCAGAGCCTCTGGAGCCGATCGCAAGACATCCGCACGCAAGCAGCGAGCTGCACGCGATGATGATTACAATCGTGGCCACTCCGATACGCGTGCGTAGTTGTAGGCCGAAGCCTACGCGCTGTCCTAGCCTCTCCGAACGGGGAAGACGAGAGTGCCTCGGCCGCCGGGACGTTCACTGCCGGTGGCCGACACACGCACAAAGCACGTCTTTTAAAACTTACAACGCCGATTTGATATTTAGTGTAGGCAAGTCCGTGTCATCGCAATACCTTCTGTTGTTGTTTTTTAAGCTGTTGGCTGCAGTTTGGGAATATTTATAACGTGTTTATCCTGCATAGCGTTGTAAACACGTAACATGGGTTGGCTTTGAAGGGGCCGCGCTCACTTGACGGCTAAAATAACCCTTCCCTGTCACATGTGCACACATGGCCGCGGTCCCTTGCTAATTAGGCTACTCAGCCTCTTGAAGGGTGGCATTAAATCTAATTAAATGTTATTGTGATGTAGTAGAATTACTAACAAGTGTGGCAGTACTCACATAAGAGGCAGCATGTAGGCTTTCTTGTGAGGTTGTAGGAAATAGTAGTTCCTCGTTGGTTTTGTCAGAAATGTCTACAAGAAAAACATGTTAAACCAGATCATTTGACAAGCAGCGTTTTGTGTTGTTTACTTCGAACTTAAGGATTCCAAGGCACTCCTGTAAACTAAAATATGTGGAACACTTATCCTGAGCGCAATAACCCGAAACTACCTAATGAGTAAGATTCAGAGAAATACAATAACACAACATACGCCCTCTAAACTTGTGGCCAATCTGAATGTAGTTACACAAACTCCATCTATCACACTCACCATCTGACAGATTTTAAGAGGCTTGCTTTTAAAACTCCGGGCAAACTGCATCTTATCCAAAGAATCCGGTTATAATCAGCTGGGAGGAATGAGGAAGTTCAGAATAAAGTTCTTTTTTGTACTGTCAACACGAAACCTGTGCTTATACTGATATACAGTACATTATTTTACACGTCAAATGTTAACATTTCACTTTTGTCCTAAATGTATTTCATTTGTGCTGTCAACATCACACCACGAGAAGAATACCGAAGAAGAACCTCTCCTGCGGAAGTGTGCAACACAGAACTACTTCTGACATCATCACTTTGACATTTCATACGTGCAGTGCTCGCAGACATGTTCGTGGCATGTCAGTGCAACCTTTCCATGGATATTTCATTTCCAGAGGTGGAATTTAGCTACGTTTTAGCTCCATAATGTCATCGTTGACCAGCCTGAGACCAGAAGCCGGGTTTAGGCTCTGCCCCGAGCCTTGAACCGCCACCCGACCAGCTGCAAACGTTGGTTCAACCTAAAATGTAAACCCACGGATATCTTGCATAAACATTTCCCTTACATTCTTATGTCTTGGGGTGTTTGACACACATTTGAAGCTCCGTTCATAAAACAAAGCTTTAAAACATTACACGGTAACATATTATAAACGGACATGATTTTGCTGATGTAAATCATCATGCAGAAACGGTTCAGTCCCCCTGCTTAAACAAACAGCTCAAAAACAATGGTCCATACGGAAGGCTCATAACGCTGATGGACTCAACAATACATCCACGTAGAGATAAACTGACTTTTACTTATTTAAAATCACGTTGTTGGATTAACATATCACAACTACTTGAATCAGTACAAAAAGCGCTGCTTGTTAATGTGGCCTGAAAATGTGTATGGTGCCCCACCTGCTTCTAAGTAGACCTATGAAGAATGATCATCACCCAAAACGCTGCTTGTTATACAGTACTGTGTACACATTTTCCTTTCGGGCAGTGCTCTTGAATAATGTGTTGAACATTTTTTTAAAAATGTAAATGGAATTTAAGAAACGCAAAATCATGCCAAAATCATCTCTAATGTGCATTACCGTGTCATCGACGCGCTGTGGACATGAGGTTGAACGTTAAGGTCTCACTTGGAGCGGTGGTTGAACTCGAGGTGTTTGTCCTGTTGGGAGTTGTTCCACTCGACAGGACCCACATTCTGAAAAGTGCGGTCACCGTAGGTGTTTAGCCCAGCTCGTCTAACAAGATCGTCACTGCCACGATCACCACGACGATCACCACCACGAGAAGCAGCAGTAGCATATTTTAAATGCTGTCATTTCGGGTCATAGATTACTAGCGTGAAAAAATCCGACAACTGTCATCCGAACAATTAACATTGTTATACATACTTGTGTTTCGGCATTATAAGGGCTGGAGCACTGGTTAGCGGACTGCGCTATGAACCTGCGATTTGAGTTCAGTTCCTGGCAACGGCTAGCATCAGCGGCGAATTTATATCACCAACACCAATATTGGCCATCATGGTGAAGTACTGCACAGTGAAACATCCTTGAGGCCGACAGCATTGGGGGGGCTCTAATCCAACAAGGGACTGGCAAAGGGCTGCACATTCTTATTCGTATTTATTAGATGCGAGCAATGAACAAAGTCGAAATTGTAAAATAACGATACATAAAAAACACATGCTGAAGTGGTGTGTTGGACCGAAAGCTGCAAAAAAATATGCTGTTACGCAAAGTGCCACTGTGCGTTCATGAAAAAGCATGCACATTATACAAGCATTATTAACAAAAGCCTGCTATTACACACCCGGCGGACCATGTAAATTGTCAGCTGAGTGGCCACGAAAGGACACGAAGAGCGCCCTTGTTATGAGAATATATGCAATGCTCCCTGAACATGAGACACGAGTCAGTAGAATAATGGCTTAATCCAGCCTTGTCTCTCTTGAAAAGAACACTAAGTAATCCTTACAGTCCATCCACTGTTGGGTGAAGGCCTCCTCCCTAAGTCGTATCAGTGCTATGGCCATACTTTACCACGCTGGACACCAATGGGTTTATGAATAGAGAGGTCCGGTTTATCTTCTTGGTTCTTTCGGTAAAGTCACGTAGAAGGGAAATAAGAAAATAATGAAATGATAATAAAATAATAATAAATTACTTTATTATGCTTTATTTTTATTATTCTAGTATTTCCCTTCTACGTGACTTTACCGAAAGAACCAAGAAGATGAATCCCTGCAGTCACGAAAGCTTTAAATCGAAAAAGGTCCGGTTAGCTATCACTCGCTACTGGTGTCAATCAGGCCCAAAAATCCACGCGACCACAGGGAGAACATGCAAGCTACAAAAATACAACAGGTGTCAGCATCGGGTTCGAACTCACGACCAGAACAAACCAAAATTGTGTCTCTGATTACATTCTTAATTATAAATGGTTAAAGGAATATTTTGTTAAATAGCAGCACTTTCATAATCAACGTTTTTGGGTTTAGATCGCGTTATTTATAAATGTGTCGTAACCCTCCACCACCCGACACGGCCAATCAGTAAAAAAGTGTCACGTTGACAAAAGACAAATAGTTCACTGCTTTAGCCCACCGGTGTGTTGAAGCCACAACATTTACAATTTGAGTAGTACGACGTTTCGCTGGTAATTGCATCCAGCATCATCGGGCAATTCGCCAGAATGGTGAGGCTCTGCTGTGTCTCCCGTTCTTATATAGAGCAGCACTTTGTTTTTGTTATATCATGTAGCATACGTCTTTGATTTCATAACTTTAGTGTTATGATCCCATAAAACAACAATGCAAGCTGCTCGTATATTTAGGCAAGATTAACAACATTCAAGTCGCATATTTTACAAAGCAGTTAATTTTGAATTGACACGTTTAGCAGGGCGTTACTATTCTGTCTAAGTTGTGAGACCTTAAATCTTCATCAACATATTATCAACATCATCAATCGCTTATTCGATTAGATCGTATTGGCATTCAAATCAGACTTTTCAGTTTCATTTCATTTCAGTTTCATGGATGAGGTATAGCCCCGTGAGCCATGCGGCTCTTGACTCGGATGCAACTGCAACAAACAAAAACATGAACAAAAAACAACTTAAAGTGAATAATAATAATAGGGGTTTTCCCCCTTTTTTCTGGCAACAAAACTGAAACCTTTTACAAGGAATCATGTGCGCATTAACCACAATATTTGTGGTCAACATGCAAACAGAAAACACACTCTGATAATATAAGCATTGCCTTTTGGCATCCTCTGGTCTAGCACCAATTGAGACAAGGCTCAAAAGAAAGCCGTTTCTGGTGTGGACCAATCAGTTTCAAGGACAATGCATATATTATCAGTGTGTTTTTTGTTGCATTTTGACCACAAGTAGGGGTGGGGAGGGGCTGGGTGGGGAGGGGCTGGTCACCCCGTGGTGCCCTTATAAAACTCAACGTTTAACCTACTCACGCCGGCTTGTGCCCCTCCTCACAGTCGGGCATATTTGCGGAATACACCACGCCGCCGTTGACCCTGGCCATTCACCGAACAACCCAACGTTCCTACCAGCTCCCTCCGCAGGAATGTGTTTAAGTATGAATCGCCTCGATTGTTCGTCGTGGCTGGGAACCCACCTCCGGTAACTGAATTCGAAGGCTAGTGTGCTAACCATTGCGCCACCTCTCCAGTTGAAAGACAACGAAGAGGTGCAGATTATATTTTTAGGTTTTTTCGGTAAAGTCACGTAGGTAAAAAAATTAAATTAATGAAAGTAAAATAAAACAAAATAAAAATTCACGACGTTTCGGAAGCAACGGCTTGCTCACGCCACTGCTGCGAGTTGAGCCTTCACGGGTGATAGATCCAAGCGAGCTCCTGTATTTGGCCTACTCTTCCATAAGAGGTGGGAGTACCCATACTTTACCCTACCACACGCGATCTGCTGCTGATCGACTGACTGCAATTGTCTGGACGGAGCTGGGCTGGAGTTTAAGAAACTTCATCGTTTCAGCTGTCGCGCCAATGATATCGAACCCGACCATCGACGGGTGGATTGCACCCGTCGCTGATCATTACATCACGAGGAAGGTGAAAAAGGGGCCGTCCATAAATGACGTCACGCACCTAGGGGGGGGGAGGTCAGACATTTGTAACGATGTGTGACGAGGATGGGGGGGGGGGTTTGAGAAATGTGACGTCACATCAAAATGCTCAACTTTAAATAAATATAGACAACACGTTCTACTTAATTAAATAGACTTTTTTGATCAATGTTTTCTCCTACAACATCAGAGTGCAGCGCCACATTAAATACGCACTACAATGACAAAAGTTTAAAGCGATTTTAAACATGTTTTATTGGGGGGGGGGGCAGAGCTTTGTGACGTCATATTTGAGGGGGGGGGGGTCAAAAATCGTCCAAAATCGCGTGAAGTCATTTATGGACGACCCCAAAGGGCATCGTTACTGTAAACTTGACAAACGCGAAACTCCTCCGATCGCCGTTGCGTATTTATTACATAAAGCACGAGCATATATAGAGATATACCACTCGCGCCGCACAGCCAGCTTGAATGAGAACGTCTGCCCGCGTGTGAGTGGGAGGAGTGGGGTGGAGCTGGCTACGCATGCGGGGATGTAAGCAAGGCAGGCGGCCAGAGACGCACGCGGAGAGCGAGCAGGCAGGCCGGGAGAATATACGACCGTGGGTTTCAGTTCTTCTTATTCATTGCCAATCCACTGCTGGATGAAGAGCCTCCCACCAAGCCTTGCAGTTCGCGGCTGCTGCTGCTGTAGTTGTTGTTTCGCCACACCTCAACTGCGCTGTTCAGTGCGTGGTTGGTGAATGTCAGACGCCTGCTCCGGTTAGTCCGGGGCTGGAGCCGGGAGTCGAACTCGGGATTTGCCGGGTTCACGGTGGAGTGGGGCTGCCGGCTTGCGCCATCGCTGCAGACACGTGGTTTTCATCATATGCAGGGGATGAGCGCTAAGGAATGGTGACTGAATGCACGGGACAGAAGAAACGCAGATATACATATAAAACAAATAGTGGTGATTAGCGTGTTATGTTGATGTTATCTACCGAAGTGTATCTTTGAGAGCGCGTGTGTTTATATCGACATCATAACACGTTGGGGGGGGATGCTTGTTCTAGATGGCTCACAAAGGGAATACCGTGGAGGATGAACAAACGATGTGTGCTGGAGCGAGTGGAGCTTCTCAGAAGAAACCACACAACACCTAACAGGTAATGCGATCATTACCATATAGCAGTGATGAACGATTCCGATGTTTTGTTTGATCGACGAGGTTGAATAATTATAATCGGTGCAAATGCATGGGCGCAAAAGTGAATAAGTATACTGTCGTATGAACGCGATGTCCATTGAAATGATGCAAGTGTAACTGATTCATGCGAGTCTGATAATATAGGGTTTGAAGAAACGGTGAACTAAAGTTTGGGATAGGTAAGTGTGTGTGTGTTGTAGCGCGTAGCCCGAGTGAATTCATTGCGAGTAGTACCGCGTTGAAGTTGGAGTGTTTCACCTTTATAAAGTGTAAACCACACGAGTGTTAACAATGAACGCTGGTGTATTCACATTGTGATTCTTGCTTATTATTAAAGTATCGTATAATAGTAATATAATAAGGTGGCTAGCGCACAGTGTTGCTAGCACGGCCACCTGAATTAGATTCACGGCTAACATCAGTGGCGAGTTTCTACCTGAACCGGTCCTTTTCTCAACATCATGACTCTTGCACTGAACAACGTGAAGAAGGAAAAAAGAACTCCCCACGGCCGAAGCAGAGAGAGAGGGCCCTCATCCAGCAGTGGATTGACAAAGTGGTTGTGATATTGGCCTATTATTTATGCAGTCTTCTGTATTTGACTTAATTCAGGCAAACATTGCACGCACAAAGTACTTGCAGTTGTGCACGCCTCACAATATGTAGCTTATATTATAACCCACATATATACGATTGTCTTCTGTGCCGGTTTCAAATTATGCACGCCGCAGAACAAAAGCTGCTCCGGGCACGCACGGGTAATGACGATAATTAGTGCAGAGATGATTGTAATGACATTTAATTGCGCGTCAGACTGCATATGCAAGCGTGACACACAGTTGCAGCCAGTTCTCGCACAGTAACATAACGTGTTATTATTTGCTGCAGGGATACGTTATCCTAACCCACAATTACATGCTCGTCTAGATTGCATGCTTATTAATGCCCGTTATTTATAGTGCCGTACTCAGGAAATCCTGGGTTTTCAAGACCATTATTCGCGATGCTCCTGTTACATTGCGATATTTGGTCAATTTGAATCATGAGGGTCTACCTTCCTGCAGAAGGAAACCAGTGTGTGTTACCGTGAAAAAACATGCGTTCGAGCGGATAACACAGATCCGCACAGTTAGATTAAATGATCCATTGCTCTACTGGTCAATTGACTGCTCAAGCCTCCAACAACACCGGGTACTGTAGTCCCAGGCAGCCTCTCATCCCAAGCACTAACCAGGCTCGACTTTATTTCTGAGATCTAACGGGCATATTCAGGGTGATTTGGTCATAGGCAAATGGGCATTTTATCAATTAACACATGCAAGTTACATCAGTCGTAATAGCAACATTGCAAAACTCGGCTGTCGTATGCAATGTATGGGATTATTAATTGCAGGAGTGAGAATTTACCAAAATTACAACTACGTTTGTTTACAAGTATTCAATATTTTGCCCACATGCAATCGCTTGCTTTGTTCGGCTAATGCTGTGGGGTGGCCTGTGTTAGCAGTTTGGGCCTTAATTGACGACTGTGTGCATGCTGCGTGTTGAAGGGTGGTGGGTGAGTTGTTCTGTTGGACCTAGACACTGTCACGTTGCATCAAGAGAGACGTGCAAGTCTGTTCGCCTCCCGGCAATGAGAATAGGCCGCTTCTTCAGCTCATCAGCTTGGCATGTCTTGCATCCGCCATGGGTTCCGTGCGCTAAAATTGTACTGTGTAATTTCACAAGCCTTCTAAAATTCAGTTTCAAGGAGGAGATGGAGTGATAAAATCAGCTCCTATGTAGGTGCTATAGGCGGACTAAGAGCGTGAGAGATGGTTATGGCTTCGGGAGGCCTTCATCCAGTAGTGGATTGATCATGGCTGCTGATGAATTCCCCAAGCTGGAAGCTTATAGACCAGCTCCGATCATTGTCGACTTCATAATAGACGCAGGACCAGCTGTTGTAACAAAATAATCAGATGTGTTTCCGAAATATTGAACAAATAAATATCTCATTCATTCTATCAACAAAATGAGACAAAAATCACTTCAAGAATTACAGACCATGTGCTTCCTGTCACGTGTACGTACATTTTTTGTGAAGTTAATTGGGGAGATACTGGCTGTTTTATTATACCACAAACCATGTGAGAAAACTGGATTTAGGAAAGGGTTTTCTACGATGAAATTCAAGACGTATGTTTTAGGAATCAGATTCTGGTTAAGACAAATTACTGTCAATACCAATATGACTAGCTAACCCTAATGATGGTTATTAAACAGATGCAAGGGACTGAGAGTGAACCATATCATGATGGATGGGGGTTTTAAAAATCACGATTATGTTCTAGTATTGTGGTAATTTTTTATGTACAGTAGTGTTTTTATTCAATATATGAAGTACGTTATCACTCCTGTTGAAATGAGTTGTTGAAAACCACGTCTGGCATAAAGTCGTGTGTGCTAGACCACTTGGTACAGACTTAGTGCTACGTTTTGATAGGCATACATTAAGTTATTTTCAAGGATTCCGCTATGGTGTTAATACCGTTGTAGTGGTTACCACACTGGTCTCCCAATCCACATGGTACAAGTTTAACTCAATCCCCCTCCCTGCCACTGCCTGTCCACCCAGCAGTATAAACAGGTGCAGTCGCAGTTAGCTAGTGGGCAGGTAACACCTGGTGGGGTAAAGTGTGGGTATTTCCACCTCTTTCAAGATGTTGGACCAGTGTAGAGGCGACATCTCAAGCTCCCTCTACTAGTGGAGGCCCTTCCATCAACATTCAGTTTGTTAAACTATATGATTATAAGCCCTAATCACAAATACTATAAAGTTAATTTAGTTCGTTTAGCTTGGACATATCCCTCTCAAAAAAATGTTCAGTTGAAAAAAGTATCCGGGTAGGCTTCACGCTTTAGGTGATTTTCTGATTTTATTTTTCGTTTCTACAAATATTCTTGCACGATAGATGACTTGACATAAATATGCAGCTCTTCGATGTGCAGCCACATGGACGTATTCGACAAAGTCACACGAATAGGTAAAAAGAAAGGAAAATGCGCTGTACCCAGGAAAGTCTGAATCTCAAGATTTGTTTTCAGGAGGGCCCTGCACAGGGATGTTTGATCACTTTAATGAGCGCCTGGCACATTACGGGAAACTGGAGTACCTGGAGAAAACCCACATAATTTTAGGGAACATCAAAGCTTTTCCACTGCGAAGCAGATGGCATGTGTGTATGTATGGTTGTCCACGTACGGTGCGAAAGAAAGTTCAATATACATCCATGAGAATGCATAGTTGTACTGTGTCTTGACCTGCCTCACCAGTGTTACAAATATACTTTTCAGTTTAAATATTGCATTTTACATTGCGCACAATGTTTACAAGTCACGAACTCTTCAAAAGCCTGCATTATAATTATGTAATTATAATTAAATTTGTATATATGTACCACTGCAGTCTCATCATGCAGCTGCATCTCAAGATGCTGATTTATGTCATTCGGCACACTTTAGTAACGCTCCACAGCATCATTGATTCACAGCAGGTTTCAGACCAACATATTCAGGGCAGGCGTTTGTTAAGCATTAGGATGTCTATCCACTGCAGGTGGTAGCAGTGTGATGATGTTATATTTTCATTTGGGCATTTATTCGTCATCCTACTTTTGTAATTTATTGATGGTGAAGAACCAAAAGCAACAAAGGGTAATTGTTCAATGCAGTGGAGCAATGGTACAGTGTGTCAAATTACAAGTCCACTCGCTGAACCATGTGTAAGCTCAAGAGAACAGCATCGTCTCCGACAGAAAATTGTTTCCGTCTGTCCCAAGCCAGAATAAAGTTTGGCATACGGTGGCAACGGGCAGTAAAACCCAACAGCCAATCCATGAAAGGTCCTTGCAAACAATTGGCCCTCGGTCCCCCGCAGCCCTTAGGTGGGCAGAGGGTGCGAAACATCTCGGGACCTGATTAGCGCGATGCTCTCTGAATGCTGTACCCCGAGTTTGATTCCTGGCTCTAGTTAACAGCAGTGTCCCGGTGATATTTCAACCAGTTCTGGGCAGTCCCGCCCCCACAGGCAGCACCCCACCCGCCCCCCCAGCACGGTACAATATAGTCAAACAATCCCCTCGACCAATTAGACTAAGCAGGGCTTTCATCCAGAAAGTCATTGACAAAGATCTTCAAAGAATTCGTTTTCTTATTTATTAATATTATTATGTCTGTATGAAAATGTAATTTAGTGCTGCAATGTAGCAAAAAAAAAGGAGCCGTACAGCCTTCATTGACTTTTTTATTCGCTCGTGAGTTATTAAAAGTTCGGCTTTCTTTTCATCCCAAGCGATGCTTATGAAAAGGGTAATTTCGTGAGTGCTCTTGGGCCTAACGGCAAATTCCTTTCGCTGCGGATGAGAGGAGCATTCAGGGCTCGAGCCAAATTATCCACGTGCCCTCTCCTCTTCCCAATGCACTGTGGACCAGCAGAGGGCAGTGCCAAATCCCAGAGTCTTAAACAAAGATTTTACCCGTGACCAGTTTGACGGTCAATCGCTTTTTGTGAATTGTCCCACGTGAGGTCGGGTGGACATCATATAGAGGCAACGTTCGAGATGTCTCTGAGGTTAAACTTCTGGGCAGTAAATTCCAAGCAATGCATGGCTGGGTTCTAGTCATCGAAATCCACGGAATTGACGCATTTGCCAAAAGTATAAAACTTAATCCGAACAACCATGTTGGTGGTGCCATACGGATGGGGGGATTCCAGAGGATTACTTCACATTAGCGTCAGGTTTAAGCCGCCAAGACCCGGATCGTTTTAAGACACTGTAATGTGCAGTGCTGGATTCAGCGTGGTGCTTCTTCATATTATAAAATATCAAAGCATTTGATTTCACGTTTTAGAGTCGCAATGCATAGCACTGACTTCGGGCTTCGGTCTGCACAATGTCTCTACCCCCCACCCCACCG